AACCATATCTGCGTTTGGGGGCACCCCAAACCCAGTAACACTATGGTCCTTGCAGATTCATAGCGGTACTACCTTGGTGCTCTTGGATAAGATCCTGGATAATTCTCTGGATTACCAGGCAGAGACTCTTGTTTTCTTCCCATACTTTCTCCCAAACAGAGTCTCTGTTTTGACCTACCTACCTAGAGCTGGGGATAGGGTTATATAAGCAACCCTGTGGTCACCACCACTATGACTGTACTGAATAAGACCTGAATCCAACACAGCACTGGGTCTCACAAAAGGCCCACTATAACTACTACCTATCACTTGTGTTTGTTCAGATTCCTAGGGCTATACAATCAGCAAGTGGCAAAGCCATACAGGCTTATGTCCTTCCTTTGAGGGTGGTAAGTTCTCCCATGCTCCAGGCAAGTCCAGAGATGTCATCCAGGAGTAAGAGCCTGGAGTCGAAAACCCTAGAAATCTACCTGATGCTATGTTCTACTGTGGCTAAGCTGGTGCTCAAACCACAAGACAGTGTCCTTCCCACACTTTTCTCCCTTTTCTAAAGACAGAGGAACCTCACCCCATGACTGCCACTACCACAGGCCCACAAAGAATACTATGTACCAGACTACTGTTGATGATGTTCCCTTAAGGCCCAGGGGCTCTTTGGTCAGCTTGTGGTGAATGATGCCTGACCTGGGACTCACCCTTCAGGGCAGTGGGCTCCCCTCTGGCCCAGGGCAGGCCCAGAAATGCCATCGAAGAGCCAAATCCTGGAATTGGGGACCCCAAGAGCCCATTTGTTTCTTTAACCCACTGTGGCCAAGCTGGTACCTAACATGCCAGACAAATTCCCCTTTATTTTTCTGTTTGCTTTTCGCAAGCAGTAGTCTCGCCCTGTACCTGCTACAGCTTGGAATGTGCTGAGTCTCACCTGAAGCCAGCAAGTCTCAGAGTCTCACCCAAGGCCCTGGATGTGGTACCTTGGTATTGCTGCTGGGCCCAAGGGCTTTTCAGTCATCAGGTGAAGAACCCTGCCAGGACTGGCTCCTTTTCTTCAGTGCAGCAAGTTCCTTTCTGGCCCAGGGTCATCTACAAATGTCATTTGGGAGATAGGGCCTGGGAGGGAAACCTCATGACTATAACTGGTACCCCATCCTACTGTGGCTGAGGATATCCAAGATGCAAGACAAAGTCCTCCCCACTCTTATTTCATCTCATCAAGCAGAAGGAAGGGGTATCTTTTGTAGCTGTGAGCTGTGCAGCCTGGGATTAGGGAAGGAGTGATGCCAACACTCCCTTCACTGCCCCAGCTGATGTGTCATTGGGTTGTGTTCCGCCTCTAAACTCCCTAGTCCACTGGCTCTGGGCTCAATACTAGGACTTACCTAGAAGTTGCAGTCCTTGTGGCCTAGACTGCCTTTAAAGTTTAATTGGGACACTAGAGCACTTTAACCCACAGTGGCAAGGCTTGTGTAAGCTCAGGGAACTCAAGTTCTGACTGCTGGGAACAGCCATTCCTTTCTGGCTGGTTTAATGGTTTAAATGTTCCTTCTGTGTGCAGTGTCCAGTGAGTTTGTTCAGGTTTTGCTTTCTGCTATAGCAGGGCGGCACTGAGTTCAGTGCCTCAAAACTGCTATGTTCTTCCTCTTCCCCGGTGCACAGAAATGCTCTCTGTATCATGCCACCCTTGCCAGGGAATGGGAGAGGAGTGGCGTTGGGGATTCAAAACGATTTTTCCTGCCTCTTCAGTGCCTCTTTGAGTGATAGGAAGTTAAATCCAGCTAGAAGATGATTGGTGGAGTCTTGTATTCTGCTATCTTGCTCCGCCCCTGACCACCTCTGTCACTCTTTTTTTGAACTTGTTTGGTAATAGGAGGTAGTCATGGTAAGACTTGTTAATTAAGGAGCAAATGTTAAATAGTTCTAATTTGCTCTTAGACTACATATGACAACATCTCCCCTATGGGTGAACAGGACTAGATTTGATATTAAGAATGTTTTATATCCTGCAGATTTCCTCTGCCTGTTCTTTGGCTCCTCCTCATGCCACCACCATCACTGCAACTGAAAATACTTCTTACTCACTTCAGAAGTGGGCAGAGTTACTAATATCTACTTCCCTTTTAGCCAAAGGACTTCTCTGTTATTTTAACATAATTTATTAAGGAATGCCTGCCATAGAGAGTCAACAACCTGGGTTTGAATCTTGGCCCTGCCACTGGCTGTGACTGTAATCACTCAACTCTCTGGGTTCATTTCCCCCTCTGTTAAATGAGAATAATAACTGCTGTACTGCCCTCATGGAATTAACTGGAGAATAAAGTGAAGTGAAGGATCTGAAAGTGGCTTGTAAACTCTAATGTGGCAGGTATTTGGGGAATGAAATAAGTTCATTTCAGCAGCAGCTCTTTTCTTCTTTTTATTTAAGCAATTGCAGTGTGCCAGGGTCCATGTCAACCTTTGAGGATTCTAACAAGATAAACTAGGTCAAAAAGGTCTTAAATCAGGCTTTTCTTTTCCATTCCTTAATACCTTGCCTAAGTCCAGGTCCTCATCATCTCCTTTGCTAGGCTTCCTGAACTGGGCTCTGTTAAAAAGTCTCATCACTCTTGACTTCATGCCACTCGTTCTAGAGTTATCTCTTCAAAAGCAGAGTTAATTATATCACCTCCATAAAGGTGTCTGTCATTTGTCCACTGCCTACAAGACAAAATTTAATTTCTTGACCTCAGTTTACATCCGGTCCAGCCTTATCTCCTATGAGTTGTTCCATATACCCTAGGCTTCTGCCTTACTGAATTTCTCAGTTTTCTCTGACGTGACAGGGACGAGACCAAGTCCCAACTCTGATTTTGCATATTTAAGTCCTCAGCCTGGAAAGCCTGCCTCAACCTTCTTCAACATTTTTGTTATTTCAGACTCAGTCTTGACATAGACTCCTCTATGACTTGAATTCCCCAAGGAGAGTGAGTTCCTGTAATCTTATCTGTTCCCATGGCACGTTGTCCTTTCTTTGATGTGGTGTATTTTACTCTGTGAGCTCTTTAAGTGCTAGGATTAGGTTATTTAAGATAAGATAATGAATGAGGCATTCTACCTAAGAGAGTGTAGCGGGTTGAATGATGGCCTTCAAAAAGATATGTCTACATCCTAATCCCTGAAACCTGTGAATGTGGCCCTATTTGGAAAAAGAGTCTTTGTAATGTAATCAAGTAACTAATTCTGTTATGGTAATTATGGTAATTTGTTACAGCAGCCCTAGGGAACTAATAATAAATAGAAGGTTATGGCACAATGGCTGCAACATAATCAGATACTGTTGTCATCACCATCAGTACCATTACTATAGTCACCATTATTATTATCACCTATCATGGAACCTGAAAAGTAGTATGTACTTAGAAAATTGTAGTTGAATAAAAATACAGTTCTTGCCTATGAGCTTCCAGTCTGTTGGTAGTGGCAGTGGTGTTGATGAGAATTGTGCTTAAAGGCGGTATTGAAAGAGAGCTGCTAAAACAGACTTCTAAAACTCTTAAATTTTTGTTTTGAATATCTTTTTGTGTGTTTGTGTGAAAGGTGATAGTAGATGTTTTAAAATTATTTTTTAGAAAAACTTTTATACATTTTAATTGTCCTTTTAGAATAATGCTAGTTTTGTACAAATAGACATTAATAATGCACCCCCCCAAATAGGAAAAAAAAAAGCTGTTTTTGGAAAACTGATGCGCATTTATAGTTCTACCAGTTTAAAAAATCTTAAACTATTCTTTCTCCCTAATACAATGTTAAGTAGCTAAAATTAATTTTATGTTCATTGGCCTTGAAGTACCACGTAGAGGTGGATCTTGGAGCAATAATTTATTCCATCGTGCTACAAGGTGCTTGAAAATCAACCAAAGTTTACAAATACTCATAAACCCAGACGGGGTGAGTTATAGATAACTGTAAATTTTAGTTTGCTACTGGAAGAATTACCAGTGTTTCATAACTTAGTGTAATTAAAATAAAAACTAAGGTTAATTGAGCTCTTACTCCATGGTAGACACTGTTGTAAGCTTTTTACAAGAATTGTCATTTTGCTCTGACAACTACCCTGCTTTCTCTTTACTCCAGAGGAAGCTGAGGCACAGATTGGTCAAGTAACTTTCCTAAGTTCATTTTGGCTTAAGTAGCAGAGACTCGTAGTGACCATGGCTCATAACCTCTGCACTGCCCTGACTCAGATACCATGTCATCTTTCATTCTTTAATACAATTTGAAGTAGAGAATATCAGTGTGTCATCATAAAAAGATTCTTACCTAATTTCGTAGTGTTTCAGACTTTAGTGTGAATCTACAGGGATTCTGATTAGTGGGGCTGGGAATGTGCATTTTAAATAAACACCCAGATGGCTCTGACTGTACTTTGAGATACACTGATCTGGTTACTACACAACTCCTATGGTTCACTTATGGCTTGTTTGTGTGCTTTAGGTTAGGCTCCTCTTTGCATACATCTGTGTTCAAGAGTGAGTCTATTGAATACATACATGTGTCTAAATTTACGCCTGAAGTGCCCGCCCTAGTAATCACATTTCCTTTTGTAGAAAATGAATACAAGGCCAGCATCAGAGAGATTCATTTTTTTGAAATCTTTTATCTGGGCTTCAGAATCTGGTGTATTGACCTGAGGAAACTGTTAAGATGAATGTAAGAGAAAGCATAACATAAAGTTTCTACCCTAGTGGTATTCTATATATTCAGTTTTTATTAGAAGAAAATTTTAATGTAAATTCCACTTCGCAGTACAGTAGTACTTCCATTATTTGGGTGACTCTGAATATTAACTGTGACCATAAAGGGATTCTTCTCTTTTATTTAGTAAGAAAACTTTCACGCATTTGTACCACCAAAACCTCTGATTATGTGTGGTTTAGAATATGGGGGAAACACTATGCTTTCAAATTTTACTACTTCAGTATTTTAGTTATATATTGGTCTGGCTAACATGTTTTTCTTTCTTCTAGGAAGGTCGCAAATCACACTGAGCCAAAACGCACCCAGTGTTTTCTGCAGTTACAAATAAAATGAATATGCCCATGCTGCTACCACAACCTCACCAGCATTTCCTAAAAGGCCTTTTAAGAGCACCTTTCCGATGTTACCACTTCATCTTTCACTCACAGACTCATCTCGGATCAGGAATCTCATCTGCTCGGCCATTTAATTCTCTTGGACTCCATTGTACAAAGTGGATGCTACTGTCAGATGGTTTAAAGAGAAAATTATGTGTACAAACAACCTTAAAGGACCACACAGAAAAACTTTGTGATAAAGAGCAAAGATTTGTGGATAAACTTTATACTGGTTTAATCCAAGGGCAAAGGGCCTGTTTAGCAGAGGCCATAACTCTTGTAGAATCAACTCACAGCAGGAAAAAGGAGTTAGCCCAGGTGCTTCTTCAGAAAGTATTACTTTACCACAGAAAACAAGAACAATCAAATGAAGGAAAACCACTAGCATTTCGAGTAGGTCAGTCTTTTTTGTGTGTTTTTTTCAGTAGATATTTTTACACATTCTCAGTATTCTGTTTTTAAAAGAAGTCTAAATAGTTTGCAATTGAATGGGGCCATTTTCACATATTTGGATAAATTTTAAATGACTTCTCATGGCAGATGTTAGTTAAGTTGAAAAAATTGCCATGATCATTTGAACCAAGGCTATGTATTTTAAGAAAATAATATAAGATTTTTATTTTGGCAAGAATCTTGCTCTGGATCCTAGGATAGAAATATTCATAGGAAGAACTGTTAGTGAGTTTACACCTTTTTCTTCTGGCAGTCCTTCTGTTTAATAATCCAAAGTGAATTCCCTGGTTTATTGTCGTATCAACTATAATTATCACATTTCAAAATTCTGCCTCTTAGATATTTTATTAGTCTTTGTATAGACAAGTCTCACTTCTTTTAGGTACTTTTTATTGAGTTTCTGAGTGTGGCTGTAAATACAGTCATCTCAATACCAAAATGTATTTTTTTTTTTTTTTTTTTTTTGAGTCAGTTCACTCTGTCGCCCAGGCTGGAGTGCAGTGGTGTGATCTCGGCTCCTGGGTTCATACAGTTCTTCTGCCTCAGCCTCCTGAGTAGCAGGGATTATAGGCGTGCACTGCCACACTAATTTTTGTAATTTTAGTAGACACGGGTTTCACCATGTCAGCCAGGCTGGCCTTGTACACCTGACCTCAAATGATCCACCTCCCTCAGCCTTCCAAAGTGCTGGGATTACAGACGCGAGCCACTGCGCCCAGCTTTTTTATTTTTAGAGATGGAGTCTCACTCTGTCACGCAGGCTGGAGTGCAGTGATGATCACAGCTCCAACATCATGCTCAGCTATGACATCATGCCTCCAACATAATGCTTGGCTAATTGTTTAAAAAGTTTTTCATAGATATGGGGTCTCATTATGTTGCCCAGGCTGGTCTCGAACTTGTGGCCTCAAGCAGTCCTTCCACCTTTGCCTACCAAAGTGCTGGGATTACAGGCATGGGCTACCATGCTCAGCCTATCAAAATGTACTTTTAAAAAGAGATCATATTTATTTGTTTTCTATCTATTAGATGTTCATTTGATTTCTTGAATAATTTGAATTGGTTTTGAAATTGGGCATTGTAAAGCAGTTTGGATATGTTTGACCAGCAGGAACCAACCAAGGCAGTTAGGATGGAATTAGGATGGAATTAGGATGGAATGAGAATGTCCCATGGTGGTGAACTAGGTGATTTGACCCAACCCTCCTGCTAAAAGCAGCTTGGTTTGGTGGTTAAAGTGCAAAAATTTTGTGGAGAAAGGGTAAATACTTTTAAAATTTAATGTTACATTACACTTTTATCTCACAGTTTATTGGCAATGCAGAGACGAAAGCCTCCTAGTTTTTAGGGTAATGATCATAAAATGCCTTAAAGATACTTCAAAATAGCTCACCAACCAGTATTTATACTCGTCCCCATTTTTCAAACTTCTTAATCTTCTGTCCTCACTGAGGGATTTCCATTTTGAGAGTACTACATTGGATGTTAATAATCTTTATGTACGCTAGACAAAGATAATAGCAAACTCCCACAGAGAAATTCTTGTTATGACAAAGTGCCTACTTACTAGATTTTAGAGAATCTTTGAGAAAATGTCACAGAAATATCTGGAATTAACTAGCAGTTCACACCTAACTTTGTAGTGCCATTCTGGTTCTTCCATCTTGATCTTATGAGGCCAGATAAACCTGTGTTTTTATTGCAGTGATGTTTTCACCATCATAAGTAAAAGCAACAAATGTTTATTCAGCACCTAAAAAGGTGTTTAAGAGAGGGATTGGATCTGCCCTAAGAGTTGTGGTAAGGAGTCAGGCATACCATACACTATACATACTTTGAGTGTAGTTAGTTAAATGCCGATGTTTTATGTATTTCATTGAATATACACTTACATATCTCTTATGCCATACACTGTTCTAAACATTGCAGACATTGACTCATATAGTTCTTAAAACAACCTGAAGAGAGAGATACTATTACTATAATCTATTTTATCGCAGTGGACACTGAGGTACAGAAGGAGGTTAAGTAACTTACCCAAGATCACACAGCTCGTAAGAGGCAGAGCTAGAGTGAGAACTGGCTGTGTGGCTTCAGGGTGTGTGCTCTTACCTGCCAGGCACTGGCCAACTCTCTCAGTAGGGGAGTTTTCTGCTTTTCTTAACATAAATTATTTTTTTTTCAGGATTCAGTTTATATTCTTTGAGTTATGAGTGAGATGAAGAAAAAAGATGATCCTTTATAAATAGAAAATTGTTTTCTTAATCACTGGGAATTTCTAGAATAATGAGTTGTTTTTCCAGTGGGAAGAAGTGTACAGAACTCAGGTAGGTAGAATAATTACTGACCATGGTGAGAGATGGGCAGATGTAGAAATTGAGCACATTAACAACGGAGACAATGAATCCTGTCCAGGAAGATCTAGATTATAGTACAAAAGCAAAGCATGTTTTGTAATTTTTAAAAGTGAATCTTGTGAACATGTGGAACCCAGAGTGTTTCCCTTGTATATCTCTATTACTCAGGAATTAGATAAAGAAACAGACTTTTATTGCCGTTTTAGGACATGTTGAAATATAATTGCAATTTTAATACATTAGGGGAAATAGAAGGTAGTCTAATATTTTACTCAGTAAAACTGATCATAGTTCTGATTTCATTTATTTCATTGAATTAGAAGATCTCTTTCTACCATAGGATTGTCTGGGCCCCCAGGTGCTGGAAAATCAACATTTATAGAATATTTTGGAAAAATGCTTACTGAGAGAGGGCACAAATTATCTGTGCTGGCTGTGGACCCTTCCTCTTGTACTAGTGGTGGTAAGTATGGCTGATTCTTTTTAAATTGCAGGGCTCTGGGGGCTCTCTGTTACAATTTAGTAGGAATTGGCACAGTTGGGAGACCTCTGACTGCTAGCTAAGTTTGGTCTCGCTGAAGGAAGGGAGTTCTGTAGTTAGGTGGGAGCTGCGGGAACTAGTTTGGGAGCATTGTACTCTTCAGAGGAGGCCAGCTTGTGGATAGCTCACCGGGTACTCAGAAAACTGCAATAACAGGTGCCAGAAGTTGAAGATGATCAAATGGAAATTTCAGTCCTTTGGCTCCCATGCATAAGGCCAGGCCCCTCTTTGCTCCTGTTTTTTGTTCCCAGGTGCTCTGTCCCAGGGATTTAGGGCTTTATTTATGAGTTCCCGTTATGCTGCCGACTTCTTTTTTTTTTTTTTCTCCCTGGCTTCATTAGGACCTGTACAATTCAGAAAATAGGTCCTTACTCATTCATCATTTTCCTCATGTTTTAACATCTCTTAAGCTTTTTTTTAAAAAAAACCTTACTGTTGTATATAATTGTCAACTGTTTATATAATATGTTCAGTTAAACAGAAAGCTCTTACCGGGACGCTGTAATATACTGCTGTTCCCCTTAGAGCATTTAGCGTAGTACATTGTACTTTACACAGAGTGTTCAGCAAATGCTTTCTGATTTGAGGTCATGCAGTCACTCAAAGTTTAATTTGCAGCTCATCAGAGATAAAATGAATATAAGCTTAGTTCCCCAAAAGATCATTTAAAGAAAACAGAAAGCATACCATATAAACACTCAGGAAAGTTTTTTTTTCTTCCCTTATCCCTCTTTATGATTTCAGCTTTCCATGTTATAGTTACTTACTTAACAAGTATTTGAGTGTCTTCTATAGGTGAGGCATTATACATGGAAGGTTCTTAAACTGTGTAATATAATGGTGAACAAGATACCGTACTAACCTTAGGGAGCGTTCATCTTACACGGGAAACACAAACACAGGCCATTACAATATAAGGTGTGTTGTGAAGGGGTAAATACAAGATGCTTTTTGGAAGTATTTGGTTTTTGTATACTCTGTAATAATGCAAGTTTAATACTAAAATTCAGAATGGTAATGTCATCATATTTTAGGGACTTGGGTTGATATAGATGTGGAAGATTCCTATTACCACCCATTGAGAAATCTAGCTCAGAACTTTCAAAATTTTTGAGTCACTATAATGAAAAAAGTTAACTGTAAAATAAAATTTTTGATCCCAACGTTCAGAATTAAATTCATGTCAATGTGTTGTATAATTTATAGCTTTAGAACTTTGTTAAAAGTATATACTTAATAAAAGATTTTTAAATAAGTGGCCCTCATTTATATGTAGGTGAGAAGGCCATTCCCCCATTTTCACAACATTCTAGAATACTTACAATAGAAAAAGAAAATAATAGCTTGAGATAATAATAGACAAAAATAAGATCATAAAATAGTCTAAAGTTACATGGCTATGTAGTTCCTAACCCTTCTCAAAAAATAAGGGTCCTTTTCTAAGGCAAAAAATCATATAGACTCTTAAAGAAAAAAATACGATAGACTAAACACTATAAATTTCTACCTTATTACATCAGTACATACATACAGTTGAAAAATAGCATTACATTAAAGTTTAAGAAGCATTAGTTTTTTGGTCTAAACTCAATCGTTTTTGTGCTTCGAATTCGCAGAACCCCTGTGATAGCTTTGAGATCTCCCTGAGATTCTGCAATTAACAGTTTTGGAATTGCTGGCTAAGACATGGGAGAGTAATTTCGTAATGTTGACTTCAGTGTGATGGGATCTATAGGGTAGTAATTTAAAGTATAGCTTTGGCAGGTTGTTTACTTACACAGAAATTATATCATGTGGAAAATTACTTTAGAAAAAGGTTGTATGTGAAGTAAATATGGAAGTTGAGGTATGGGGCACATATGTGCTCTAGAATTGGAACCCATGAGAAGACTCTGAACTGGCATTTAGTTGTAGAAGAGTATGTCTTTAAGAAACTTTTCAATCTTTAACACTACGTAGAAAAAGTAGCTCTTAAAAAGAGGGAAAATAAATACTCAGATTAGAACAGCGGTATACCTACAAATGTTATTATATGACTAAAGCAAAATAGTAGAAGGTAATAGTAGTCCTGGGACTTTCAGTCTTCTAGAATTTGTAAATATTGATGTTTGTCAAAATATTATACTACAGTGAACACAAAAACATAACCAGTTTCATTCCACAGTTATTGAGTGCCTACTCTTAACACTTTGTTAAGCATTTAGTGTAAAACATATGTAAGATGTGGTCCTGTAGGCAAAGACTTACGCTAAAGCACGGTTTCTCAACCTTGGCAGTAGTGACATTTTGTGTCAGATCATTCTTTGTTGTGGGTGGCTGTCCTGTGCATTGAAAGATGCTTACTTAGCGGCATATTTGGCCTCTACCCAGTAGGTGCCAGTAGCACCCTACCCCTCACTTGTGACAAGCAACCGTGTCTCTAGGCATTGCCAAATTGCCCCCAGTTGAGAACCACTGTGTGAAAGAGATAAGATAGGAAACCAAAAAAATGTGTTGTATGAATAGTTTTCCATCCATTAACTTAGCTTACATTGCATTCAGTGAGAGCTCCAAATTGTCTAAGTAGTAGGCGATTAGAAGCAACAGACTGGGCAGAAGGGGCAGCTTGAAGAGATATTTGCGTAGCACTTACATAAGGTTGAGAAAATGTCATTTGCAAAAATAAAAGAATGAGGAGTGGAGGGTGCTCGTGGAGATAATAGAAATAGGAGGGACACTAAAGTTCTCTTATGCCCTCCGGGATGCTGGCATACACTGAGAGCTGTTGTACCATAGAAATTCACAGAGATGGGCATGGACTGAAAAGGTTCCAGGCAGATTGTATGAAGGAAAAAGGACTTTTACTGATCTTTATGAGGTGGATAAGTTCTGTGTTCTTGTTATTAACAGTTTTTGAAGCACATTCCTGGGTATAATTACATTTGATTCTCCCAGTAGCATATTACCCTTGTGATGTAGCTGAGGAAAGAAGGGTTCAGGAAGGTAAAGTGACCTCTCAAAATTGAATAGTATGAAATGGTGGAGCCAGATTACAGACCGTGGGCTTGACACATTGTAACTTAGCAGTGAGGAAACCGAGAGATACTTCTGGCATGAGAGCACAAACAAAAGATGGGAAGAAGCAAACACAGTGATGTTAAGATGACATTAATCTCCCTGGTTGGAACAGAGGATCGGTGTGGGGACTAGTAGAAGCCAGAATTGGACAGGTAAGATGCAGCTAAAGAATCTAGATGGGAACCTTTGGTCGGTGGGAAGCCATAAATGATAGGTTTTGAAGGGCTTGAAATGTTAAGCTTAATCTGACTTCATTGTATACAATGAGTTGGAGGGAAGCTGAGTAATATGAAATGCAGTTTGAGATTTAGGGAGAAATGGCATGAAGCCTCTAGAAACTGCCTGATAATTGACCCGTAAAACTGTTCTACGATTATAAAATGTAGCTGTGTATTTCAGGATCACTGTTAGGTGATAAAACCCGAATGACCGAATTATCAAGAGATATGAATGCATACATCAGGCCATCTCCTACTAGAGGAACTTTAGGAGGTGTGACAAGGACTACAAATGAAGCTATTCTGTTGTGTGAAGGAGCGGGATATGACATAATTCTTATTGAAACCGTAGGTGAGTGTGATATTCTATTTCATAACAACAATATACTATTTTATGAATGCTATATAAAGATGAGTGACAACTTATTTTTATTCATTCAGCAGGTATTTGCTAAATGTATAATTAAATACAAGATACCCCATACTCCACAGAGGATATGAATGTGTAGTTTATAATCCTTACCCTCAAAGATCTTATCATTTAAAAAGTTAAAATAAACCATCTATCTGGATAACTGTTATACAGGTGGTATGTTATACACGCCAGAGGAGAACTATAAACATTAGGATGACTTGTGTAAATGATGCTTTAGCACAGCACCTATTTTGTTTAAGTACATTTAATATGTCTACTATGTTTACTAAGAAAATTAATGTAGGCTGGGCGTGGTGGCTCATGCTTGTAATCCCAGCACTTTGGGAGGCCGAGGCGGGCGGATCACGAGGTCAAGAGATCGAGACCATCCTGGCCAACATGGTGAAACCCGTCTGTACTAAAAATACAAAAAAATTAGCTGAGCGTGGTGGCGCACGCCTGTAGTCCCAGCTACTTGGGAGGCTGAGGCAGGAGAATTGCTTGAACCCGGGAGACGGAGGTTGCAGTGAGCCAAGGTCAAGCCACTGCACTCCAGCCTGGCGCCTGGTGACAGAGTGAGACTTTGTCTAAAAAAAAAAAAAAAAAAAGAAAATTAATGTAGTTGGGTGCCTTTTGAAAATGCAGATATGTTTTATTTCATTTTTTATATCCTTAGCTTATACTTACATGCAATGAAGATACTGAAATGAAAACCCCAAGAAATTCATTATTGTGGAGAGACAGTCTATTATATTACTGTGTGATAAATGTGATACAGCCTAACTCAGATTTGGGGACCCAGTAAAGACTTCCTAGAGGAGGTGACAGCTGAACTCAGTTTTGAAGGAAGAATTGGAGTTAAACGAAGTATGGGATAAAGGGCATTTGCAAAGATAGTTGGGAGTGAGAAAACATGGCCCATCCAGAGAAGTGCAGTTTGCTCAGGATACTGAGAGCATGGGGTGTGAAAGCAGGGAGTGAAGGGAGGTCAGCTGGAGCAGTAGGCCAGACCAGATTGTCAGGGACCTTATATGCCATCCCAAGGAGTCTTCTGGAGTTTGCCATGAAAGGAGTGGGAAGATGCTGCTGGAAAAGCAGGAGAGTGAGAAAATCAGATACGTATTTTGGAGAGATCCCTGGCAGCAGAGTATAGAACGGTTAGAAGGAGGACCAGAATCGAATAAGGAGACTACTGTACTTATCCCAGAAGGGGATGGTAGATGTCTGAACCAAGCAGAGGAAGTGGGAATGGAGATGAGATGGATCAACAAAACATTGAAGATAAATGGGCAGGATTTCATCCATAATAAGATGTAAGATAAGGAAGGAAGGGGCATTGCAGGTGATAGAGAATACTGTGGAAAAAGTAGATTTGCAGAGAGGAAAACAATCAGCTCAGTTGTGAATATATTAAGTGTGAAATGCTTATTAGGTGTCCGAATGACTGTGTGTCTCAAGAGAAAAGGACTGAATGAGAAATACAGACTTAACAGTTACCAGCATAGTTCATAGTTTCATATTTTAAGAATTTGGTTCAGATAAACTGGGGAAAATATGAGACAAAAATGGAAGATAGTTATATTAATCTGCTAGGGCTGCCATAACAAAATACCACAGACTGGGTGGCTTAAACAACAGAAATGTATTTTCTCACAGTTCTGGAGATGGAAGTTCAACATCAAGGTGCCTATAGGGTTGGTTTTTCCTAAGACCTCTCCCTTTGTCTTATAGGTAGATGGCTGCCTTTTTGCTGCATCTTCACTTTACTTTCCCTTGTCTCTTCCTGTTCACTCTACTCTCTTAGTGCTTCTTCCTGTCCTTTTGAGGACACCAGTCCTATTGGATTAAGGCCCTACCCTTGTGACTTCATTTAACCTTAATTGCTCCTTTCAAGGCCCTATCTCCAAATAAAGTCACCTTGAGGGTTAGAACTTTAACATAGGAATGTTTTTAGATGAGGGAAACACAAGTCAGTTCATAACAATAGCCACAACAGAGCTTTAGAAACTCCACCATTAAAGAGTAGGTGAAAGAAGAGTTAGTTGCCTGAGTGGTATTAAGAGAATCAAAGAAGAAGAGCACCTTAAAAACCACATATTTTACCTGGAAATTGTAGTTAGCTACTTTTCCCAGAAACTCAAAATAACAGTGACTCAAACAAGAAAGAGGTTATTTTCGAAATAAAAGAGTCCTAAACCAGGCATTGTGGCCCCAGCCTGTAATCCCAGCACTTTGGGAGGCCAATGCAGGCAGACTGCTTGAGTCCAGGAGTTCCAGACCTGCCTGGGCAAGATGGTAAAACGCTGTCTCTACAGAAAAATATAAAAAAATTAGCTGGGCATGGTAGAGTGCACCTGTAATCCCAGCTACTTGGCAGGCTGAAGTGGAAGGATCACCTGAGCTTGGGAAGTTCGAGGCTGCGGTGAGCTGTAATGGCACCATGACACTCCAGCCAGGGTGACAGAGTAAGCCTCTGTCTCATAAAATAAAATCAAAGAAGCCTGAGGCCAAGCATGGTGGCTCACACCT